GCTGTCGGGTATTCCTCTCTTGCTCAGCAGAGCGAATTTGAGAGTTTTCTCGCCGAGATCTATGCCCATGGGTATCTGAGCGAATCTGAGAATTTTCTCGGCGAGATCTATGTGCCTGGGTATTCCTCACCTGCTCAACAGAGCGAATTTCGGAGTTCTGTCGGCAACATCTATGTGCTTGGGTGTTTCTCTCTTGCTCAGCAGAGCGAATTTGAGAATTTTCGCGGCGAGATCTACGTTTTTCGGTATCCCTGCCTTGTTCAGCAGAGCGAATCTGAGAATTTTCTCGACGAGATCTATGTGCCTGGGTATTCCTTGCTTGCTCAGTAGAACGAAACTCAAGATTTCTTCTACGAAATCTGCGTTGCATCGTATTCAAACGTTGCTTAGCAGATCGGTTTATCGGATCTAACCGGCGTCTAGAGCGATTTTCTGTATCTTGGGACTGCTCATTGAACCTATTTTCAGAATCTTCGCGAATAATTTGCATTCTACTTCTATTCTCAGTGCGTCGCAATAAAAGAGATTTCCTACTTTACCTTGGCATGATTGATTTGTATACACTTATTCTAAAACTAATATAAATTTTGTATAATTATAAAATATTTACGAAAATTCTCTGCCGGTGATATGTTCAGCTCGTCTGGTTGTCCGTCCGCTTCAAGTAGTTCTTCTTCTTTCCCTCTCTGGATATCCTGGATTGTAGTATATATTGAAGTTGTTGAATTTGATGCTGCTTTGTTCTTCGCAATTAAACACTTGTTGGATTTTGTTTTGAAGTTTTCATAAAATCTTTTATTTTTTCACCTTCAGTTCAGTTTTACGCATGATTCAAAAAAGAAGGTAGTTTCAATAAACAACTTTTGACGGATAATAAAATTTTTTGAAGTTTCATAATTTGTGAGTATTATCAACGGCCTTGCCACTTTGATAATATTAAAACAATAAATCGGAGTATTTTCTTTCCCATATTTATACCAATGTAATAACATTTCAAATCAAAAACCATTATCAGTACTTGGTACTGTTTAAGGAGACTTCATCGTAATGGTTCTCTTCATTTTGTAATAAAAACCACGCGCGCATTTTTCTGTTTTTTTTTTTTAAATGCCATCGTGCGATTTAAAAATCAAATTCTAAAGAATGTTCTTCCCAAATGAAACCTGTTTATATTTAGGTTCAAATTTGCTTTTAAATTTCTCATCAGATTTTGCAAAAAATTAGGCTTTTAGCATCATTAAATTTCACAAATTAATTTATGCAAAACACCTGAAGAGGGCTTGAACAGACCTCCCTCCGATAAACAGCTAACAGATCGTCGTTTAAAGTACAAAACCGTGTATCAACAAAATGCACAACTGCGTATGTGAGGTTGCATAAATTATTTAGAAGAGAGTAAAACACTCACATTTCAAAATGGTTCTCTTTTTTACAAAGAAATCGCATTTCAGGACGAATGGATAAGGGTTGAGCCAAGAGCTTGTGTGAGCAAATCCAATTTTTAGAGAAAAATGTCAGTTACGCGGTTTTGCAGTTACACATTCTCATGCGTTCTGAAACCTAGTCGTCAACCCCATTTGCGAAATCATTTAGCCGGCATAATTTTCTAGTTCATCATATTCCACATCTTTGAATGTACTGATAAAATCTCTGCTTAAAGAAATATATTTCTTCCAGTAATCAGGTAGCATGAATTTGATGAAATGCCATAATTTTATTAAAAGTCAAATGGTTAGCAACAACAACGAATGTCATTGTTTCTTCTAAGAGGAACTATTAAAATAAAACTCAGATACATTTTTTAACGTTGGGAAAAATAGTATAAAAACCCAACGATGTTTATTTGGCTGAATTCAAATTACTACTACTCTTACATTTTATTTCTTACATTCTTCTTGCTCTCGACATTCATTTATTTTGACATTTCGTTGATGCCACATCGCACCAAATTCGCTCAGTTCTTACCAATCCCCCCGAAAAACCATCAGTTTTTCTAATGCTATGACCCCTTGGCCAGTTCTCAGATTCTATTTCTCTTCTGTGTCTATCGGCAGGATACATATCTTTTGTACTGGCCTGTGTAAAATGTTCGTCGCAGTTCCAATTGCCACTGAGCGTACCAAATTATCCCTACTGGGATGAAGTTCTATTATAGGGCCTATAGCCCATTGCGCAGGTGGAAAATTTTTACTCTTAATTAGCACCAACTGTCCTAAGCGCACTCGTTCCGATTCTCGTCGCCACTTCTTGCACTCCTGTAGTGTTGTCAAATACTCGTTATGCCATCTGACCCAAAACGCGTTGATAATAGCCTGTCTCTCTTTCCATTGTTTAATGCCTTGCCATCTTGTGGTCGTAAATTACGTAGATCTGCAACATTAACTAAGGCAGCTGCTTGACGATCCAAAAAATCTAGCATTTGTTTAACAGTCGGTGTTTCTGTCTCTCGTTGCAGCTCCCACTGCTTACTCGTATCTGGATCTAACCTTTCATGCAGCATATGAACTATAATCATATCCCAAGCATCGACCGAAATTCCTTGAGCTCGGAGCTGTCGTAACACTTCATGTGTCACATTGGACATTCGCTGAAGTTCATGAGCCCGTGGGACCCCTCCTATAACTGGCAAACGAATAAACTGCCGTAAATGTTCGCGACAAATTGGATATTTGCGGTCATACAGCTGCTTGAGCCGCTCCCATGCCTCTATATAATTATCATTTGTAAGCTGCCATTCACCGAGTGTTTGTGC